TGAATAGGCCAGGGCAGAATGGGAGATACCATAACTGTTTAGCACACGCTTGGTCAAAGGATCGGCTTCATTTGTCTCTGACGAGTCGTAATATGGTGCTAAGAATGGTAAAACTCACTGACGATGCCGTTGAAACGTCTGGGAATGTACCACGTTTACGGTCCGACTTTGGAAATAATTATGCATACATGGACTCAGAACAAGATGCGTTCCTATAAGTCTTCCTACCAATATAACTAAGTTGCGAAAACAAGGTCAAACAACCTCTACAACGAAAGGAGACTGCGACCACACATAAGGCCACACCATCTTGGTCCTTCTATCTTCGAGGATCTACTTATGTTCGATTAATAGATTAAAAGAAAGAGAGTATTGAGCCGCCTTCAAAAAGAAGGCGACTCAATTTGTCTGCTTGGTGTTGGTTCTAATTTAACTCACATTCTTCCAAAATGCTAGTATAAGCTCATCAACCAAGCCAGACATGCTAGCTTACGCAGCCCCAGTCACGCCTTTCCTTGTGGGGTTAAACGTTAATGATCCTAGACTAAGAGGCTAGGATAAGTGGTTTTTCAACTTGATTTAAATGCTCACAAGCTCATATCTCATACTTGCTCATCATTAATATTTCCTTTTTCTTTTAAATAATACTATCTTTGACATCAGCCTGCTTTGTCTGAGCAATTCGAGAGGCCATTAATCGTCGCCATTATCTGAGAGCATTCCTTTTCGAATTAAATTTTACCATTCCTATTTCATTATGTAAATCCTTAAATATTTGTCTATTTTGCTCCCAAAGTGAGTTCACACTTAGTTTTTATGCTTTTTCATATTTATTGGTAGGGAATTAACATTATGTTGTATGCCTTTTATAATCTATTGGTTATTAATTTAAGTGAAGGAACTATCAGATTTGTCTAGGTGATGAATTAACCTTCTCATTGATTTTAATAAAAAATATTTATTTGCCTGCTTAACTTCATAAAATTGCTTTATTTTTATGTATTGTATATTTCTTGTTTTTATCATGACAATTTTTTTCTTCACTAACTTACTTCGATGCTCTTTTTGAAACCAAACTTTATTTGGCGCTTAAAATAATCACTTCTATTTATCACCTACCATTTATTTCTACCATTTATTATTTAGAACATACTTCACTGCACTACAAGCCCATCCGTCTCACCCAGTTTGCCGTCTCGTAGCCGAAACCCTTCGAGCTCCTCTATTGGTCCAAGTTTGTCTAATCTTTCTTCGGCTTCGACACATCCCAATTCACATTCGCCCACGCCTGCACGCACACCAACGCCAACCCTACCTCTTCAGTCCAGCCATCTTCAACAGCAGCATCAACATCATCCGCAGTCTCACCAGCACGTTCAGATGCCCTCGACATCGTCCTCGTCTTCCAGCCACCCTATCTGTACCACGTTAACTGGCTTGGCACATCCAGGCAGCAGGCCATCATCCGCTCATTCCAATTTACCTAGTCCAATGGCTTCGGCGTCTGCTTCTCAGTCGCCGTCTAGTCAACTATCTCAGACGCCGCAACCAGAACAATTTACTACCTATCCATCTCAGCCTGGTACTCCTGCCAACCTCCATCAGACACACGTCCACAGTCATCAATTGCAGCAGCAACATCAGCATTTTCACCAACATCCTTCTCCTGCCTCGCTGCATACTCAATTACCTATCGCTCCTGCATATACAACATCGCCTTCTACCTGCCAAACCACTGCTCATTCACCCAGCATGTCAAGATATCAAGCTTCGGTAAATTTTTGCATTTTTATGTTTTTACTTTTTTATGATTGCTGATAGACTGGGATTTTTTAGGAGGCAAAGGAAGCAGATACTGTTCTCTTATTTATTTTTATCAGATTTTGTTTTACTTTATTTGCTCTTTCTAATAAATTATTTTTCTTTAAAACGTCGATTTTTACACAAACCAAATTTAATGAATTTTTTTATATTTACCTATTCTATTTGGCCATTTTCTTGCTTATTTATGCTTGATGAAAACTTTATCAAAAGGATTAAAATTAAATGTTAGGGCTGTTTTAATTACAAATGACAGGATTGGCAATGGCATCGGATTTATTCATTTAAACACAATTTATAGGGGGTCATAATCTGAGCTAAATAAGCACTTATTTTTTTTATTGTATCATTAACTATCCTATTATATACATTATTTGAGTCTGGCCTGGCCTTCCTTAAATTTCGCCTCTGCACTGTAACTCAATTGCACCCTTGGCTGTGTAGTAATGCTGCAACGTGTCGCCAAGTGCTTAACCCGTATCGAATTCCGTTGGGAGTGGTGATGAGGCCTAAGCAAGCCATATTCTTTGGCCCTCAGTTTAATTAGCATTTTAGGATTTTATCTTTTTTCAATATCTTCAACAGAGCCCCAACGGTCTTATCTGAGATATTTGTGTACATGCTTTGTACTTCAAAACCCACTAACAATTCTCTCCATGTCAGTCCAATGCTTGGAATCTTGTAAGTAAATTCAAAAGTTCTTCACGGTTTTTCATAGTGTCCTTTACTTACGGCATTTTGTGTTTCGCTCCATGCTTGTTGTTGACTATTAACCTTAGTGGTTCTCATTCTTTCTCTATCTTGCGTATTCTTCACCTTCCTGAGATTTCTTATGCCTTTGCTTAATCGTATCCTGTAATATCCCGTTGATCTTCATGATTGAATCACGTCTTAGCAATTAATAAGTGTTCCGGTCGCTTAGGATACTTTATTCATGTTTTCTTTTCTCTCCATTACTTTCCACCCTAAGGACTACTCGTATCTTTTTAATTTTCTGCCTATCTTCGTTGATCTGTTTATGTTTATGGGATAATTATGTGCCATAATACTTGGAATTGACTCCATTTACAACTCTTATTTAGTATCTTCTGGGTATTTCCCTGAGATATCCATAGAATCCACAAGAATATCTTCTAGACCGTTTCCTATCTCATGAAATCCGTAGTTTCGGGAACAAGTTGAACTGAAGAATAATTCACTATATTCCTATCGTCATTTGGGGCAGTGGCTGTCGTCAATACAGCAAGCGCATGATTTAGTCGAGTTTGCTAGTCCCTGCGCTGCCTTATAACATATTTAAGCGATTTCTTACACCTATTTATTAAGTCTATGACCCTTTGCAACTCCCAATCATTCATATTCTGTAGCTTTTGAAATTCCATCTGAGTGAATCGGCGTCATTCGATCCACTCAAAGGGGCACAAATGCACTGTGCTAAAGTTGGCAAATTAGAAACTGTGATATGGAATAAGGTGATTCGGGGATATAGGATAATTGAATATATCAGCACAATTGGACAGAGTGGATTTCGCTTTTCTCTAATGAGTCGTCGTGTGGTGCCAAGCGACAAGACGCAATGATGATGTCGGCGAAACGTCTGAAGATATATATTAATTCAACGATCCAACACTGAAAATTATCATGGATACTATAGCAAAGGACTCAGGGCAAAGTGGGTTCATCCAGGTATCCGACAATACGACAGCGTTGCCAAAACTTGGTCATGATATTTTTTTTAAGAGACTGCATTTCTAATTTTTTCATGATTTGCCTCATTTATGATACTGATTAAATTTTCCTTGCTTCAGACCATGTGTTCAATACAAAGAACACATTTCTAAGCACTTTAATTTATTCATTCGATTAGATGATTTTGCTAAAAAATATCCAACAAGGAGATCACGATCATATGAAATAGTATCTTTTTTGTATTTTATCTATTCTCAACTAATTTTGTCGGATAGTTATTTTTATTGGAATATCATTCACATTCACACTCAACAATTTTGACCCATTTTTAACCCTTCATCTACTTTTTTTCATATATTTTGTTTTTAATACAAGCAAATGATATTTTTTTAGACACCTTTTACTTTATTACTATCTTTTACTACACTTTATAGACCCCTAATGCTTCAGTGATGGTTCAATATTCACAACAGTCACTCCAGACGAATGTAATGGCTGGAAACAGCTCCCTTGGTAGCCCGGCCTCAGTGCCTTCTACGCATTCCCACATTGCCGGTACTTCTCCTCTAGCCTCTGGACTCTCCAGCCTCAATGGTAACACTGGCAGCTATCCCCCGCTGACTAATAATGTTCAATCCCCTCAGATCACCGCTCCAAGCCAGCTACCTATATTAGCATCCCATACTCCTTCAACTTCCACACTTTTGAATCATACGCAACAGCAGAATCAATCAGCAATTTCAGACGTCGCTACATCTCTTTCTCACTCACCATCCTGCCAGACTGCTCTTCTGTTGAATCCAACTTCTAGCTCTGCTCTATCTGGTACTACCATTGCTAGCCCTTCGATAGCCTCTGCTTTGGCACAGGGTGCTGCCTTTTCCACTCCATCTTCTTCATCTTGTCTCACTGTGTCTCGACCAGGGCAGACTATGACTACAAGTACAGGATGCATGAATTCTCCAGGAAGTATATCGGCAGTCACAATCACAGCAACAGTCGCCGCGTCATCCCCTACAATACCTGGATACTGCGTCGTCTCATCTTCACCTGCTGCTCGACTTACCCAGCTTCATCATCCACCGCCCCCACCTCCGCCTACTTGGCCACCTACTCATATTATTCAAACTACCCAACAGTGTAGACCGATGGCTGGGACCTCTTCCACACCTGGCCCCTCGTCCTCAACTTATCTGATCGGGACACAAACGCAATCTTCTGCTGTTCATCAACCTTATTCTTCTATGCACCCCCCACCACCCCCCGTTCAGACTTCAGCATCCCAGCAACATCTTCATTTATCTTTACAGAGCCCTCCACAAACGAATATCCAAGGCTCAGGCACTCAGTTTCATTTTTCGCAACTTCAACACCATCCACAACAATTCCAACAGGTTCAGCAGCAGCAACAGATTCAGTATAGTCAAGGAAGCAACCAACAACAGTTGCATCAGCAAGTATCACCTCAACAATTTGGCCATACTCAAAACCAATCAGGTAATCTCAGCCCCATTCAGACCCAAGTGCGCCACAACCAGTTGCAGCAAAATCAGAATCAACAACAATTATCTCATTCACAACAATCTCCCAATTCTCATTTACTTACTCACCCAAATCATCAGCATCACCTTTTTCACAGTCATCATCATCCATTGCAACAACAACAATCACTTTATCAGCAAATTTCCCGGGTCAGCCCGTCCGCCTCTCCTGTCAATGCGCCCGCTCCTCAAACGCCTACGCCACCGCCGTATGCTTGCACGCAAGTAAGGCTTTCGCACACTAGGGATAAGTCTTCTAGTATACTCTAATATAATGACTTTTCGATAAAAGTATTTTAACCTTATGTAATCATTACTTAATTAATAATTTCATCTTCCAAATTTGAATTTTTTAGTTAACCTAACTTAGGTTCTTGGTCATATTTGCACAATATACTTTTTTGGTAATCGATAGTTATATTTCACCTCAATTTATTAAATTTTTTAAATAGCTCGGTCTCTCACCTAGTACTCCTCAGTCTCGTTCGATCATCAGCTCCCCTTCTT